TACTAGGGGCTCCTGGCCTTACTACTAGGAACAAGAAGCTACTAGGGGCTCCTGGCCTTACTACTAGGAGCACGGGTCCCAGAGACACCTCACAAAGCGGGTGCTACGTTTGGCGGTTTTATTCATGGTTTTGTTTGATGATTTTTTGCAATCGATTGTGTTCTTGTTTGGTGGAACCAAGATAATATCGTTTTGCTGGTGGCATTGATGCGTCACCAGAAACGATGGGAATGTCCTCCCGCATTTCTTCATCGTGTCGTATAACACCGTCGAACTCGTCGCCTTGCCAGGGTTTCATCGCCTCCCTTGAGGAACACGTGAAGATCCCAAGGAAAGGGGATCCTGCCGGTGGAATGGGAAGTCCTTTCAAGAGGGTTGAGAAAAGTGAAGACCCATTCTTTCAAGTTGAAAAATCTATGGAACCTTTGCCAGTGAAAAGAAGAGAAACCCTCATGGGCTCATCAGGCGTACAGTAACTGGGCCTTTGGGTGGACAGATCTGAAAAAAAGACCTCCTGAATTCGCAGGGAAAGTGAGATATTGAAATGTCCGACATTTCTTTGAAATGATCAGGATGTACAAGTTCAGAATGCTATTTCAAGATCAAGTCGTCCTTTCTGTCTTCCACTCGTTGGGATACACAATCCGACAAGCATTCTAAGCCTCATGGCTGACTCGCAAAACGGTACTCGTACGTTTCTCGCTGACAGCAGCAGTATTTGTGATTCTTACGTGTGTGATTTGAATGCGAAAATTCCTGAGTCCCTTCCATGGAGCCCTGAGGTCGCACCTGTCACTCACCTAGCGGCCGCAGCCTCAGATGTCTCAACCGATCCTTTGACATCTAAAGCTTCAAAACCAGGACAGCCAGGAAAACGTCCGATACTCTACTTCTACTGTTGCTCTAATTTACTCTGCATGTAATATGCATAATATATATATAATTCAACCAAGAATGCGGAGTTCCATTTGTGTGTTGATCTATTTTTCCAAGCTGTCCGGCCGAGGTCAATTCCACCTATTTGTTCTCCTGCGACTCCTCTGGAGAGCTGGGAGCCTCGGCTTGGCGACAGCCAAGCATGGACATGAAAGCATTGCAATCGAATGCAGTTGGTAGAGAACTCGTGAAAGAAAATGGAGCGCGTGAAAAGCCTCAGTTGGTATTAAATTCCTTCATATGTGTTCCATGAATCATGAATTCGATGTCCAACAGTTCTTGCACCTGGATGATGCCCTTTGCTTCAACCAGATGCTATTAGCAAGTGCTTCTCAACAGCATGATCCTGTGGACCGGGCTGGGCTGGGCATCCACCAAAACTGACCACGCCCGCAACTCCATCTTCCAGGTGCAGGGGTTGGCAGAAGAACAGGTGGCGCTGTTTTCGGTGTGAGACGAGTCCACAAGAGTTGGTCAAGCTAAATCGGAGCCCTTTTTCTGAGAGCCCGGCGCACACCAGTTCAAAGAGTTTCTTGAATATGAACATGAGCGATGCATAAATATGATGAAGCCTATGCCTATAGGATCCTATAGTGGTTTGTGCATAGTATGATGCCTATCGAAAGTGCTTGACAGCGTCACGAATCACTAGGATCACTATCTGACTATCTCACGAATCACTAGGGATCACTCAAAAGAAGCAGACTCAAGAAGCAGACTCGGTTTGCTGCGGATCATTCTGAAACTTCTCTCACCTCTCACCTTCAAGCGCTTCTTTCGTTCCCTTCCATGGCTTCACAGAAGGGTCTCAGGGTGTTGCACCCTCGCCTGTGACAGGTCTATGGCTTTGCGGGCCACTGCACGCTTACATAAGCCACTGGGACATGTTGAGTCGGACCTGGGATTGGCAAGTCCTTTCAGGCAATTGTAAGTGTTTGGAGGTGTTACTTCCTTTTGCTTCCACACTTCTTCGGAGGGCCATCTTCCACCGCGCCGGATCAAATCCTTCGAACCCCGGCGGTTTGACATCAGACGGAATTGAAGACCAATCCCATTGAGACCTTGGGTGCGTTGGGTTGAAAAGCTGGTGTGCCAGGGCTCCAAGTTGAACTGCTACGTAGGAGATTCATAAATTCTTGCAACCATGGTACGTACTGTATCTACAACTTGCTGATTCGCAAATTGTCAGCTTCAGAATCCAGAAACCAAATAAAGACCACTATTTGAGTAAATGTCCAACCCTTTAAAGAATATTCCCAAGACTCCGAACCCTTTGGAGATTCCTGTGAATGTCCAAGTCCAAAACTTCCAGAACTGATAATCATCGATTTTGCATTTTCAAGGGGTGCTGTGGTGGATTTCGCCGTGGACCGGCACTTCGTCTACTCCTTGGGCGAGGCAGGATGAACACGGGAGGATTTCACCAAAACAGGTTCGCATTAAAAAAAGGCAACAATAGGAGAATCTCGAACCAACACCATGTCCAAGCAAAACGTGTCGCGTTCGCCGAGCCGCCCGCGATCGGTGCAGGAGATGAACCTTCGAATCTGGTCGACCGAGCTCAAAGAGGTCGTCGTGATGCCCATTGGCCACGTCGAGGCTTGTCCCACCTCCTAGCTGAGGCCTCCAACCTAAGAGCGATGGCCTCCAACGTAATAGCATAAAAGGAACCGACTAGCGATGGTCTCCAACCCCTTCTTACTAGCCATGGCCCTCCCACACCCAGCTGAGGTGTGTACCTAGATGTTCCTAGCGGGCCGAGAGGACGTAGGTGGGACATATATAGTACTATATGGTCATAATGTAGGATCTTGACTTGGAAATATCGCTGTCTTGTGGCAAAAAAGGGGGAGCCTGTATTGAACATGAATTAGATAATTACAATTGGTTATAGTCTCAGACCTGAAGGGATCACATGCCAGGCCTCCTGCCTCATGGGTGATATGGCCGCGCCGGTCCTGAGCCCACCCAAGGTCGCCACCGGCGCCCGCTTCGGAGCATGGCATGTTGAAATCTATGCCACATGTGCAAGCGCAAGCACTGAACTTCTGTGCAAGATTGGGTATCGGTATCATTCGAGTGTCGGAGCATAGTCTTGCACCTGCCACCTCCGGGTTTGTCAGTGAATATGTGCAGGGCACCGATGAGAAGGAGGCTGCCTCGCCTGGGCCAAAGTAATTGAATGATACGCAAGCAAACAACTGTCGGACGGGGATTGAGAAGGCCAGAAGTCTACAAGTCCAGCCTCCTTTTGGGATCTCATTCACTAGCTGCTTAGCCTTGTCTTTTGGATTGACATGTTCATGAAGACTTCCGGAAGAGGAACACGGGACGCTCTGTGTCGTCACAGACGAACCGGTCATCGCCAACCTTCTGGGATTGAACTGAAGCTTTCGTGGCTCGAAGAGTGAAGATGCTGTCGGTTCGATAGGTGTGTAAAGTGGAGATGGTCAGTTCTGCAGCTGTGGGGTGCTTGACAGGTAACACAAGGTAACACGAGACTCGGATGGTCATTCCAGCTCGTCGTGTGAGGTCATTCCAGCTCTCAAGGCTCTCAGCTCTGAAGCGGCCGGTGTCCAGATGGTCCGGCGGACAGGCGAACGGCTCTGCGCAGACACCGAATCGAACCGCTCACGCAGCTGCGAACATCTGCGAACGGCTCTGTGAGGTTTCCAAAACCCAAGGCAGTTTGCCGCTGGGTTCAAGTCGTTGGCATCTGCAACACATTGAAAAAAATGTTTAAAAGACGTGTAGGATCGTTTATGTGTTACTTTGTCCGCTGAGTGTTCAAGTCTAGGTTCCTCAAAGTGTGCGGGATTAGTCCCACCTTTTTTCGAGGTGCAGAAGAATGACACTGTAAGCCGTAAGCCTGTAGGCACCAGCAGTACATAGACTTCCTGTTTAGCTTCAGAAGATTATTGTAGATTTGAGTGTTGTTTTCGGCAACTTTCATCAAGTAGTGGAAAGAAAAGAATGGCCACATCAAAGCACGTGCTTTGGCGTCAAACCCGTTTTCATCCTCTCATGATGGATTCGCTTTGCATCTTGGTGGTTTCGCGGCGTTTCAGGCAGCTTCAGGCCGTGGCAGCACCAATACGCCGCGCGGTTTGCTTTTTGCTTCCTGGCTGACGATGTGGATCGTTGGGATGATGCTCTGACAACTGAAAGTCCTGCGTTCACATTTGGGATGTCGATGTCTTTTTGAGGCTATTGCTGTAGGCTATGTGCGCATTGCTTTACAGAGGGCAAAATAGATCATCCTTTTCGGGGACCATCAAGTGCTAAATTGCAGAAATCCCAACTACGTCACTAGTGAAAGCTCTACAGTCTACGGGTCTAGACATCCTGATCATCCTTGTTTGTTGTTGGTAACAATGATGTTGTTGGTTTGTCGAACATGCCAATGAACAGTTCATAGAACATGCCAATCCCATTGTTGGCATTTGATCTTAACGGATCTTGTTGGTTGTTAGCATCCTCATCAAATATGCCAATGAACATCCTCCAGAACTGGATCTGTCAACACCTCACGTCGACCTCCGCCGGTGCAGACGTCGGTTGGGACGCGGGGCCCAGGTGGCGGGCGTCATGGCAAAGGGCCAATCTGCAGTGACGGTCCCAATCTGGCATCCGTTTGTCACAACTGCATGGAACAAGCATCAGGGCTTAGTTAGAACAACCATTGCTATCAGGTTGGAGGCCATCGCTATTAGGTTGGAGGCCATTGCTATTAGGTGTTGTTTTTCTTGTTTGACTTGCAAGTTCGACCTTTCATCATGAATCTCACTCCAGCTCACCGTATAAAACCGTACAGCTCGCTTGGTGACCATCACGCCGAATGGACTTCTTCACCGACACCCGAAATGCTTTCAGACTGAAGTTCCGAGTTTGCTCACGATCACGGTGGTGTGACTGAGCTCTCGGTAGGACTTCTCATCGTTACTGCAGACAGCATTTCGTCTCGACAGTGGTGAAGACATCCCCAACTTTCGGGAACCACCAGAGTCACTGCTCAAAGGAAAGAACCCAAGGAACCCAAGAACCACCAGAACCCAAGACAACCCAAGAACCCAAGCAATTCTTGGAGAACCCAAGAAACTGCACTAAGAACGTCAAGAATGGCTTCTTCAAGGGTCCCATGTAAACACTAGTCGTCCGACTTCCAAGGCGGGTGAGAACGCTGCAGTGCTGATGGACTGCCTCAGCCCGGGAAGAAAGTGCTGAAGTTCATTGCACATTGAGAAGATTAGATGATGGAAACTGGAAACTGATCTTAAGAATCTTAAGTGAGCGTCGTTGTAGACTTGTAGTGTTGTCCTGCCCTACTTTTCGTTCGGCAAAAAAGGATAGAGATTGAGTCCCAATCTTTGCTGCACTTCATCCAGAACTTGTTGGTTGTGCTCATTCTTCATTGTTGATGTCAAGTGTTCAAGCAAAGCAGGGTGGGGATGGAAGTGAGGGTGCCAGCAGGAATGGACCATAGCAGCGGCACCAGTTTGTCAGACACATTGCTGCAATGGATGGAGTGGGTAGGTCTTGGAGTGGGCAGTCAAACGGCAAACCGCCCACTCGATCAATGATATCAATGGTTCAATCCTGTGCGTTCCGCCTGCGGTCTCCGGTCTTCGGTTTTTCGTTGAAGGATGTCAGCTGTCATGCAAACTATCAAGGTGTTTTGTTGAGTGCAGTTTCCCTAAGAACGAGACATGATTACAGTGGTATTTTAGATGATCAGACTATGTTAGACTCACGTTGTTCTTCCTGGGGAAACTGAAGGAGGTCTCCCCGCCTTTGTTGCTCAGGGGCGCAGTCATAGCGCACGCACGGGGCTCAGGTCGCACGAGAGGTCCAATATTTCTACCATCATCTTCCATCAACAAGAGAAAGCGCAAAAGATTATTGATGCTTGTCTCACCAAGTCGCCCTCTCATCAGCTTCCTACATCTTCCTACCTACACCATCGGCCAAGATGGTTTGGTCGCTGACTAGTACATTGCAATACATTGCATCATCAGACGAGACGAGCGATTCTCGGCCGTTCAGGACGTGCCCATTGTGCCGAGCCCTCAGCCTGTCAAGCAGCAGACCTCCGTCGGCGCCGTGACCTCCGTCGCCTGTGACAAAACGGCCACCATCGAGGACCATCGCCTATGGCCCCTTTGACAACGGCCCCTTGATCACATGCGATGGACGTGGCCTTTGTCGCGTTTGGGATTGCTCACCCAGGCGGGGCCGCGCTCGGGCGAAGCGCCCGGCTGAGCGGTCGCTCTGTCGTCTAAGATCTTGGCCCAAAACGAGAAGAGATTGAAAAGGCGTGTGTTTTGAAACAGAAAAGAAAGGATTTGGGCTGTGAAATGGCATCAGTTGTTTCAACTCCTGATCAACTCCAACGTATCTGAAACTCCAAACGTTTGACATTCTCTGTGTTTTCAAAGGCTGTGGTGCTCACAACAGATCGAAGCCTCACCAGGTGGGACTGGATGTTTCGTCTCACGGAGGGTGCTGCAGTATTTGGAGACTTGTTCCGCTTTCTTCTCGGGTGTATTGAAGATGATAGTCCTCATAGCTGTTCAATTAATTAGACACGCAAGACATAGCAAGTTAGGTGGCTCAGCTTGAGCTGATGCATCAGGACATGTAGTATATACAGTAAATCCCCTGCCTAAACCTTATAGAATCTGGGAGGTCGAGCTCAGAATGACCCTGGGATTATATATAGACACTTTTTCTCTAGAATGAGATATCCACCTACCTGAAAAAAAGCTAGCCTCAAAAAATGTGCCTCCACAAGTGGACTGTTCATGATGCCCAATAGGTGAGCTATTCCGTTTTATAGAGAAGGCATGAAAACGCACCAGATTTTATACGGGTTGTAGTTTTGATTTTATAGAACGCATTTGGAGTAGTAGAAGGCTAAGAATTGATTTCAGAGTGGTAGATTGATATCTCATTTTATAGAAAGCGCTGGCATTTGTGGTGAGAGTTCTTCTGGGGCCACAGCCTGGGATCACTATAAATGAAAAATGCACCTCTTTGGGGGCCATGTTTGGCTAGCCCAAAGAACAACCAAGTCCTTTTTGTATTTCTGCCACTTGAGAAGCCCTTCCTTGGAATCTTTGGAGCCTGCGATTCTAAGATGATCGAGCAACTGGACCACTACTACCCAGTGACAGTTCTTGAACATATAAACAAAATAAAACAAAATTTTGGTCGAGAGGGTTCATGGTTGGGAACGATGGGCTTTGGGTAGGGGCAATAAAGATCAATAAAGTAGAAATCCTGTCCACATGAGGGCCCGGAAAGAAGACCCACTTGAAGCAAAAAGTAAAGCGTATGTCTCTTCCCCCCCGGATCTCAATCAAGGGCATCGCTACTAGTAGAAAGAAGCTACTAGTAGCAAGAAGCTACTGACATGCCGTGATCTCAATCCCTGTGTTCGCACTTTTGCGCACGACCACAGCCTCAGGTGCTCCGCGATCGCTCGCCAAAGTCAGCGTGGCGTCGGCTGTGCACCCAGTGTGGATTCGATTCAACTCCTGGAGAAGAGGGACGTCAAAAACCACTCGTGGTCATTCCTCTTATTTCTCATCCTGGTGGTGGAAGTTTGACATAGTTTGACTCACAGGAGAGAAGCTCAGGACCCTTTGAACGTTAAAGATGTTCAAGCTCAGGACCCTTTGAACTGCTCCCTTTACTCCGTGGCAGGCGAGAAGAGGCAAGCCTGCTTGCAGCAATGCATCAGAAGAATTTGGAGCCACCCTTGTAGATCAGAAGTTCGTCCGAGTTCGTCGGATGAAAACCTCCAAAAAAAGACACCCTGGCATCACTTGGCATCCAAAGTATCCAAAGACAGTCTCATGATGTGCGAGAAGATACTAGGAACAAAGGGCATCGCTACTAGGAGCAAGGATGCTACTAGGGGCTCCTGGCCTTACTACGAGTAGCAAGAAGCTACTAGGAACAAGTGCATCGCTACTAGTAACAAGTGCCTTACTACGAGTAGCAAGAAGCTACTAGGAACAAGTGCATCGCTACTAGTAACAAGTGCCTTACTACGAGTAACAAGAAGCTACTAGGGGCTCCTGGCATCGCTACGAACGGAGTGCCAATCGGCCGATCTCGGCGCCCCAAGAGATGGACGGGGTGGGCCCACGTCACAGGCTTCTGGTGTGGTGCCAGAGGCGTGCGGAACACATTCCTTCGGTCAAATCGAGGCTGATGCATTGGACTTGACTATCTACGGTTCCTTTCCAGATTCCTAGATTCCTAGATAAGAATGGTCAAGCATCGTCTCGTTCATGGAGTGCCAAAGGCTGTGTTTTCGGTTGGGGTGTGGTCTAGGTGGCGTTGATGAAGCTCCTGCAATGCGATTCTCAATGCTTGTGCTGCTAATTGATCCTAATTATTCCTACTTACTTATGGTTTAAAGCTTTTATCAGAGCTCATAGGTTGTCACCTTGAAGTGTTAGGAAGTCTCCAACTCTTATTAGGCATGAAGCTTCGTGAATCAGGGAATTTGGTCATTTTTTGCGCCTAAATCCATGGTGAAGCCAAGATACATCTTTATTCGTCACTTGGTTTGTCCAGGAGGCTACTTGTAGGTGATTATAAGATAGCTTCAGAGGGTGCTGTCCCCGCCCTTCCATCCGTGCAGGGGCGCTGGTGAATAGACTTGACCTGGCGTCATCGATTAGAAAAGCCGGTCTTGCCACCAGCCCATCAGTCATTTGGAGCTAGTTGCCAGTATTACTGATGGTTTGGTATGGTTTGGTACCTTCTGATGTGAGCCTAGCAAGTTTCCTGTTCATGCGGAGAGAGAGGGTCGGCAGCTCGGAGAGGCATGACTGTGGGTCCGTCCGTGCTGTATGCACCCAACCCTACTCGCTTCTGATAGCAGGCATACCCAACCATACCCAACATACAACTGGATGTTGTTTTTATTGAAATTACTTGATATCACTAGCTTCTTGTTACTACTAGCGTCCTTGCTACTAGTAGCGATGCCCTTTGTTACTAGTAGCTTCTTGTTACTAGTAGTAAGGCCAGGAGATACGTTCGTAGCGTCACCAGCCGTTTCGGCTCCAAAAGCGGGTTGTTGGAGCATCGGCTCCTTTCCGTTTGGCCGCCATGGCGTGGGACATGGGCCCTGAGACCCAGTGACGATGCGACTAGTGGCTGGAGGACGTGAAACTGTGCTTTTCCTTTGCTCCTACTAGCGTCCTTGTTACTACTAGTAAGGCACTTGTTACTAGAAGCGATGCACTTGTTCCTAGTAGCGTCCTTGTTCCTAGAAGTAAGGCCAGGACCCCTAGTAGCGTCTTTGCTCCTAGTAGCGATGCCAGGAGCCACTAGTAGCTTCTTGTTCCTACAGATGTCACAGATGGGGTTGATCGTTTGATGATGTGGTGGTGGCTCGTCTTGCAGCGGCTGGTCTTCCCAGGCTTCAACATTCAGTGGACACAGCGCATTGAAAAGGAGGCAGGGTCAAAATCAACATGGCTAGAATGTGAAGTTGAGCACGATGCTCTCTTTGTGGAAAGAAAGCAAGCCAATGCTGATCGATCTTGATTTATTGCCAGTTCAAGCAGTATCACCCATGATATCTTAGTCACATTGAAGCCAAAGTGTGCAGTCTCGATGCAGCAATGACAGGAGCGTGCCTTCATCAATGGGGCGAGGATCAGAGCTGAGCTCTCAGAGTGAGTTTTTGGGCCGGTCAGGAGAAGGTTGAGCCAGTCAGGGGAAGGTTCCCAAACTGAAGACAAAGGTTGCGAAGGATTGACCTTTTCGACCCTTTGAGGAAGAGATTGAGCGCAAGGAAGAGAAGGCTGGTCAAACTGCTCGTTAAACTTCTTTCCTTCAACCCGGATCATAGCTTGATTCCATCTCTTTGGTGATTTCATTATAGGCCATGTTTCAGGACTAGTTTGAGCACCTTGCAACTTGAAATGTAACGACATATTGTTTTCATGTCAATTCGAGCCGCGGATGTCAGCCAGGTATTAAGGGTTACATCCCCAGAGTGGATAAGGGGTGATTATGGCTATCGATGGCGATGAATATACAATAAGTTACACAAAACCTTGTGTTGACGTCTGTCTCCTTCAACCCATTTGGGATCGTTTACCATCGTTTACGTACGTATAATTGCGTAATTGTATGTAATGTGTTGCAAAACATTCAGGTAATGTTCAAGTTCTTGCGCCTATCATTCACCATCATTCACCTATTGTTCACTCAAAAGGTTCCTTGGTGGGTGTCACCTACCTTTCAGCTTCCTTTACATGGCGTTGGCCACTTTGAACAAATGCAGGAGGCTCGCAAGCAGCGGCGTTCCCGAAGGACCGGGGGTTGGATGGAGTGCAGGAGAGATGCGCTCAAGTTCATTCAAATGTGGGCGATTTAGTAAGGAATGAGGGAATGGATCCTGAGGAATCCACAGCGGGGGGGTCGTTCCCTCATGCTCAGTTGTGCGGATATTTGGAAGATCTGTGGACAGGCTACTGGAATTGGCACATGTTTGGTCAGCTTGGAACCCAAAGCCTGGGAACAAGGAGTGACCTTGAACACCCATTAACACCAATATCAAGAGGGTTGGACTTGGACTTGTCAGTGACTTCGTGGGCAAGTCCCGTGATTGTCAGGGGAGCCTCCAGCAGATCTTCCCAGTGCTCAAGTGCACTGTCTCTCGCAGGCGCTGGAATGGGTTGTTTCGCCTCAAAGTCGAGCCATCTCAGATTGAACAAACAACAGTACTTTGAGTAAGATTGCAAAGAATATCTAACTTAGGTCCGGATTCTCTTTACCTGGCTGGAATGAGACGCTGATGCCTGATGATGTGCAATCTACGCGGCTTAAGCTCCATCTTATTATCCAACTATTGTTCAGAGCAGAAGTATGTGCCCGGTTTTGCTGAAATTGTCAGGATGCTGGGCAACCCTTTTCATGATTTCCGTTGCAACGGCTTTGAACCTCCAGCAGTGCAGTAGCTACGATCAGGTTTGTGAAATTCAAGTCAAGGAACCAAGGATAGTGAAAACAAGGATGGTGAAAACTGGAAGGGTCTACACCACCAATTACCTGTTCCTTGCTTGGACCCGGCGGCTCCTCGCAAACTAGCCTCACGCCACGCCACGGCGGCAGACTCCGTGCAGGTAGCTCAAGCATAGCGAGTCCCACGAGTTCCAGCAGGTGAGCGGTGCACCCTTAGGGCCGAAGAATGAAAGATTTAAGTATATATACTCTGAAGAACACATCACATGGAAGTGGAAAACCCCCTGTTTGTGAAAGGACAGTCTTACTAGAAGCCACGTTCATCTACTTGGGAGTGTCACGAAGCTGTTGAGCATATCTTCATTGAGAGGTCGGAAGGTGGTTTGTGAAGGGTTGCTTTCTACTCGCACCAGGTCGTTTTGTGTATATGTAATAGTTATAAAATTATGATAAATTGCGTTATATATTATAGATTGCAATATAATGTAATATATATGTACATATTTGTTCAACGTCATCAGTGCGGTAGCCCCAACTGCCCTCATTTTGGGTTCAGCACGAAGCTAGCAAGTAGAAGACGAATTCCCTTGCCAGGATAGATAACCGTGATGAAGCCTTGGATATGTGGACTTGTGATGGAATGCTGCAAATCCCGTACACATCAAACATTCCCGCCTGTTCCTTCTTGTCCACTGGCCAACTTCCATCCACACACACACACACACCAGGATGCAGAAGTCCTTTTCAGAGGCCAGCTGCTGTTGGAGGGTTTCTTGATGTCTCCGGTCTCTTTTGGTCACGGTAACAAGTGCCTTACTAGTAGCAACAAGAAGCTACTGTAACAAGTGCATCGCTTCTAGTAACGAGTGCCTTATTAGTAGTAACAAGGACGCTACTAGGAACAAGTGCATCGCTTCTAGTAACAAGTGGCTGCTGTTTTCCGGTCTTTTGGTCACAGTACATGGAAACCAAACCAGCAGCTTCCACCATTTACTGGCGCCAGTCTCAGAGCCAGACCCTCAGCGACGACTCTGGTCGTGATTCTCCGACACGCTGTGGCAAAGGCTGCGTTGGTGCCTGACCACTTCAAAGCAGCTGTGCATTTTCCCGCATTGGTCTCAGAGCTGTGTCATGCGTAAACATCCCAGAACCAAGCGAAGGCGACGTTGCAAAGCAAATCTTTGGATATGCTTTGTCTTGCGCCAACCGACCTGTGTCATGAGTCACGGAAAAAGATGCTTGCTCTTGTGTTTGCATCAATCATGCAAGTGTTTGCTACCAAGACTGCGGCTGATCACGTTTCCTCATTGGACTGTCATCAAAAGGCATTCGCGAAGAACTTTTTAGTTATTTTGGTAACAAAATACAGATATTGTTAACTTAATTAATAATTGTTATAAATTAGGAGTTTGTTCCAACAACAATGTCCACAGACCGCCTCAAACCCGCGAAAAAGAGCGCTGCAAAGCAGACCAATTGTTCGAACGAACCCCTTGGCCTCCCGCGCCTTGCTCAACCCGCACACCCAGTTGGTGGAGAAAGACTTGGTCACGGCAAGAGTGAAGCCCACCACGGATGGAACTGTGGAGCACCCAGAGCCAAAACTTGTTGCTGAAAATGCCCTACTGTAATTGCAAAAATCTTCAAGGGCGCCAAAAGCAAAAGCTCTACTTCTGTCAACCCATGCTTCTTGTATCAAGATTTGGGCTACAGCTACAGAAGGCCAACATGACGTTGAATTGCCCGACTGAGGTACCTAAGATCTCCTTCAAGCCAGAGAAGGTCAGCTGCGGCTGTTCCAGCGCAGGAATGTTTACAAACGAAGCCAGCAATACGAGTTTGAAGATGTTCCAAGTGGTGGATTCAAAAACTATGCAGGCTTCCTGTGCCGGCAACTGTAACCAGTCCAGTTGTTGCTGAGTGCCGCAAAGATCCCCCTTTGGCTGCGCGGTCAAATCGCCAGATGTTCAAGGGTGGAGTGGTAGCAGCTCTTGATGACATATCCTTGCTTTTCCTGTATGCTTGCATTTGACGATATCATGCTGGTCAAAGAATGTGTTCTAAAAGTGGAAGTTTACACGTTGGAGGTGAAAGCGCTGTGGTGGCCTGGGAAGCAGCACTATGTTAAATATCACCCGGAGTTCAGCTTCCAGGAGATGATAAACAACCGTTTGCAAGAATTCGCTTTGTTTGCATTGTGGTAATCAATCCAACACCTCATCATCGCAAATGTATACAACAGTCAGTCAATTGCCGGATTCTGAGCAAAGCTGTTGGAGGCTTGCGACTCTTTAGATCAAGCATTCGTACCACCTCCCACCCAAAAATCACATGTTCTCTTCTGATTGTGGCTAACGCTGCGCAAGCCAGCGATCTACTGTAGTTTGTTAGACAATAAGTTAGATTCTATACTGGTGGTCAAATCCCACATGCATTGGTTTGTGCCAAACCTTTCGAGGTGTTTGTCACCTCGTTGTGGTACGTGTAGCCCCCTCGCGTCGCCCAAGTCCCAAAGACATTGTGTTTGGCAAATCCGTTGTAGGATTCCTTGCCAAGACTTTTTGATGGGATATAATAAGTGAGGCTTGGCAAAATCCGAAGAAAAGGGAACCGAAGAATTCTCCGCCGCAAAGGGGAGAATTGCACAATGAACGAAACAAATTGTGTTGGAAAGACATTGTGCACTGGTGTGTACAATCTCTTTTGCTGCTTCGTTACAATCGCATCCTGTGCAGGAGGCCCCCGAGTGGTCGCCGGAGGACTGGGTTGTTTCTAGGGTTTGACCACAGTCATTTGTTTCATGTTAAATGCAGTGCAATGCTCAAAGCAAAGCACCAGCAAAGCCGGGAAGGACATTCTCAAAGGCTA